CACAGATCCTTTTTTACTCTTCTTCCCAACTTTGTTTAGCTTGACTTTTAGTAAAAATGACCACATTTGGATGATATAAATGGCAAGTCATCCAGAAAGAATACCGTGTTTGGAAAGGGAGGTTACATTTGGATTGAGAGTATTATATTCAAATCATTAGTGCTAGAACGATAAAGTACTTTTAAAAACTCAGAAGTTCAAAGTGTACTTTTCTATTACTCTCTACTCCAGCAGATTTTGAAAAAGTAATAATAAGGGCACAATGACCGGAGTTGGGAACAGCTCATACACATTAATATTCTCAGAACATTAAACACTTAAAAATAACTTATGTGGATGACTCCTTTAGAGATTTGCTTATAATTAATACAAAATAATTCTTGGATTTTTTTGAAGAGTTATTATAATTAATGCAAAATAATTCTTGGAAGTTTTTATTTTTAAATGCTGAGACAGAGTATTAAGAAGATGTTTTAATGGCATTTACCTGGAGGACTGGGAATTACTATCCCAGATGCCTTTGTATAGTGTCTCTAAGGGAGATGACAGGCAAGCAAGATGCAGAGTCCCTTTTTCTTATGCTGGTCTAGTCTAGGCCAAGGACTCCTTTGAACCTTACTCTCTGTGCTAGGAAATCTGCTGGTCTGTTAGCACAGGGGCTGTGCCTTTACTTGTGTATTTGTCTCAATGTTTCTTCACTCTTAGGTCTGCTTTTTTTTTTTTTTTTCCATAAAAGAATTGGGGTATAGGCCAGATGTGTGGAGGGTGAGAGGATTTACCAGAGAGATAGGAGCAGAAAAGACAGATTCACTGAAAAACACTACTAAGGGGAGCAGCGGGAGTGACAGGAGAGGCCTGCTGTGCCATATGTGGGTGAACTGCCTGGCCGGGGATTGAACTTGGGCCGTCGAGGTGGCAGTGCTATAGACTTAGGTGTTAACACTGTATCATGCAGGAATACCCTCCTCTCCTTTCACAGAGATAGGTGTCTTCTAGCACTGATGGAAAGAGGCAAGACACATAGCAAAGGGCTGTGCATTTTCCCAGGAGTCTGGACCTGAGCTGAAGTCAGCCTCAGGTATTGCATCCCATGGATGAGAGAGAGAAAAAAAAATCCCAGGCACAACAGAAAAGGAATAGTGGGCCTTTCTGGAGCATAGGGGCTGTCACTAGACTACTAGGTGGAAGAAAAGGTGGCACAGAGCTGCACACTCACTAATGACAGTCTGATCCCTTGGAAAGTTTCACTATTGAGGACCCACCATGGTGCTTCCTGGAACTTCACCTGGTCACTCTGGAGGTAAAGTAGCTTTCTGTTGATCATGGAGAGATAGGGCATCGTTTACTTCCACTCTCTTACCTCTGCCTTCTCAGATTTATCCCTGCACTGAGGTGATAGGCGTCATGCATTAACTCGTCTTCTGAGCTCTGCTGTGTTGGTGATCCAGGCCTCAAGCTTCGTGGGCTAAGGCCTGGGCACTCACTGGGTGCCTTCTTCTGCTCCAGTCATGGATTCAGCATTGTCAGCCTTGTGCAACTACAGGTGTAAACCCTCCTTGCTTTCAAGACTCTGTATTGCTTAACTCCCTTCATGGGAAAATTCTGGATATTTGGAATTAAACCTGTTAAAACCTTCACGGTATATGGGAAAATGCAGAGAGGAAGATCTGGTGACTTCAAGCATGATTTCCAGCCCTAATAAATTTTACCAATGAAGACAAACTTCCATCCTGCCTCTTCCCTAGAAATAACTACTGTCCTAAACTCAATCAACATAGATAAGCTTTCTTTAGAACTTTATGTAAATGTGTTCATACCATGGAGTTTATATACCTCTTTTTCTGGTGTCTAGCTCAGTGTTTTTTCCAAAGATTTATTTATTATGCATTCAAAAACAAAGATTTGTTTATTTATTTATGCATACAAAGACAGAGTGGGGAGCAAAACAGGCAGACTGACTGAAATACACTGTTGAGGGGAACAGCAGGCGAGACAGGAGAGGTCTGCTGCATCCTGGCTAGGGATCAAACTTGTATTGCAGAGGTTATGGACAGCTTCATAGTGCTGTGAACCTCTCGCACCACCAGGAAGGCCCAAATCTCAGTAATGTTTTATAGGAATCCTAGTATTGTTTGTGGAATTCAACTGTTCATTCCTTTTTTATTGCGAAATAATACTCCATTGTGTGAATGTACCTTAAATTTTTATCCATTTTCCTATAGGTGTATACCTGGGCTACTTCCTGGTTGCAGCTATATATATCTTTATGTGGTCATGTTTTCATGTTACTTGAATAATACCTACGATTGGAACTTCTAAGCAATATTGTAAATGTATAGTTTTATAACAAAAGCTCTCAACTGTTTTTTATTAGCAATGTATTTAAGTTCTGTTCATTCTACATTTTCACTGATATTTGTTGTTAGTTTTTTTTATTATGTATATTTATGTTTGCATGTGGTGCTATTTCTTATGATAATTTACATCTTGCTAATGACTGACATTGTGTATTTTTCATAGAATTTACATTTTGTGGACTGTCTCTTCAATTGTTTTACTCGTTTTTAAAATAGGATGTCTTTATTATTAAGTTACAGGAATTACTTACACATTCTTGTAAGTTCTTTATTAGATGTATATGCCATAAATATTTCCTCCTACTTAGTAGTATCTTTAGATTTTAATTTTTAATTTTTTAATATAGTCTATTTTACCCATTTTTACTTTCATAAAGTCTTTTCTTAAACTTTACGCATACAAAAACTGGGGTATAGGTCAAATGTGTGTGTGGGAGCAGTAAGAGATTTCATCAGAGACAGAATGAAGAGTACAACAGGTGGCTCTACTGAAACACACTGCTGAGGGAGTAGCAGGTGAGACAGGAGAGGTCTGCTGGGCCATGTAGTTCAGCTTCCTGGCCGGGGATCAAACTCATGGCCCGATGACTAGTGATAGCTTGGTAACACTGAGACTTAATCCCTTGCGCCACCAGGGAGGCTCTCTGTTTTACCCATTTTTAAATGACCAGTACTTTCTGGGTCTGAAGAAGTCTTGCCTCTCTGTTTTCAGAGATCTTCTCTTACATCCTCCTCTGGAAATTTTAGTTTTAGCTTTTATGTTTATCTGTGCATCATTTGAAATTTTTGCATGTCTTCTGAAGTACTAGTCAGCTATCCCCTGCACCCCACTACAGTTGTGGTTAACTTGATAAATATTGACAATACTTGATAAATAACTTGGCAAACTTGATAAATATTGAAGAGAGTGATAGGGATTCATTTTTCTGCACTGTCTTGTGACTTTCTTTTCATAATAAAATTTCCAAACAAGAAAAACATGTATTTTAAACCTGAAGTGAAAGTTCAGGCATGAAAACACTGAGACAGGTCATTTAAAATCATATAATGGATTTTCCTGGCTTTATCATTGTTGGGATGAAATATCTTACATCATACTTCATTCAGATTCTATAGTATGTTTCTGATCTCATGCATGATGTATCACAAAGTAATCATGAGCCCTCCAAAGGAAAAATATCTTCTCACAGCAAATGCTTACCAAATACTGTTTTGAAGCCCTTCTACTCTGTTTGCAACTCACAGATAATCACGTGCTGATTCACACACACACACATGCACCATGCATCCAAACTTGAAGTTACTGTATATTTCATATGAATTGGTTTTCTGTACTATGTGCCATTGGTAATGTGTGCTATCAAACTTTGCCATTTGATAAAGAAATTTTGCCAATAATTCATTCTGCTTTCACTTTCATTCAAATTTATTAATCTTTAACTTTATGCCTAACATCAATTTTGCCACAAGGAGTACCACTTCAAATGATGCCTCTGTAGTTTTGGTTTCTCTCAGCTTTTGATGACAAACTTAATTACTTTTGTAGTTCAAAAATTACTTTGTACTTGTCTAGGAAAACAAGATCACATTACTGGAAATCACAATGTACATTATTTGGGAGAGGTACCAAAACTTGGATGGCTGTGGTTGGCATACTTTTCTATACATGGAATCATCAGAGAAATAGGAAAAAAAAATGGATTGCAGGTGGAATAGCATTCAGTTTATAATACATGGCGCAGTTACTTCCCATGCCTCCCCTACCTCCATCTGCTTATGTGAAGCATTTACCTTTGCAGATTTACTTTTTCTAGAACATTAGGATCTGTCTATGCTGATTGTCCTGTTCACCATTTAGGTTTATAAAATGATTCCTGTTGCATTACAGCTACATTTACATTGAAATCATCTCAGTGAATAAGTGTAATTCTTCATAATGGTAACCATAAAAACGCCAACTTAAATGTAAGCAGTAATACCCCCAAACTGTGAAAATGTGTGTTGTAGTAGACGACATCAAACTAAAAATTGATCAGGATCAACCAAACTATTAATATAAGGTTGGTAGAGTCAAAATTATAGAACCTAGAAATTCGTGAATTTTTATTTTCTTAAAATCATAATTAATCTTTCATTTAAAAAATGTGAAATCGGGGTAGTGGGTGGAAATTGCTTCTTTGCTTGGTTTTTAACCTTTGCAATGGCCTAATTTCTTTGAGGCCCCATGATAGACCAACTGTAGTTCCCTCTATACTGTGAAAAGCTATGCTTTTAAGCAGAGAAGATGGAGAAAGTATGTTCCTATATAGTGCTTCCCGGTGTTTGGGGGTCTTTCATCCCTATGAAGCCTGTCCATGGAGGATAATCTTCACGGGTATTTTTGAGAACTCTTGACTCAAAAATCACTTGGGGATTTTGTTCAGGGGGCACATTCCTACATGCTACCCAAGTTCCTGGGAAGACTTCCTGGCAGTGATTCCAGCAATCCTGCATTTCAGAACCACTCTCAGGTGAGTACAGCGGATGCACTGCTTAGAGTAGAAGGCCCATTCAGCCAGAATGGCCGTCTCTGCTGGGTCTGTGTGACACATCACTTTCATAATTTGTGATGAGTGGTTTCTCTTTCTCCTTTTTTATCCTTAGGGCTGGTCAGTCATGTTCGTAACCTGTTCACGAAAGCTGCCACACTGTGCTTGGATGCTGACAAAGCCAACAACGAGACAGCAGCCACATTGCTGTGTTCCCTGCTCGATATCTTGCACAGCATGCTGACCTACACTTCAAGCGTCGTGCGTGTGGCTCTGCAGGTGGGCCCCACTGCCTGCGTCCTGACCGCTGGGCCGCGTCATGCTTCCCTTTCACTCTCCTCTTCCCCATCTTTCTGGAATAGGCCTTTCTTTTTGAAAATGAGCTTATAAATGTGTAGACACAGACACAGACATCAATAGCATACTCGAGATTTAATTAGGTGGTGGAGCATGGACTACCACGTAATCCATGTTGGGGTGATGAATGTCAAGAATGTCAAAACTTTAAAGGAAATCAGGAGAGGCCTAAGCAAAGGTGTAGCAAGCACTGGTGGGGAACTGGTCCCCTAGATCACTGGCCTCATGTGCACCCCAGTGTTGCCAGGTAGTATGCAGTCTTTCTGCCCAGAGATGGAGCTCTAGCCCACCCTCAACAGAAGCTTGGACAATGGGCTGAGATTTTAGACACACACCTGCATATACGTGCATACACAGGACTACACAAGTTTGTGTGCACCTAGATAGACACCCAGATGTAGCATGTGTAACACATAACCTCACTTTCTCCGAATAGTAAGATGAGTATTCAGTTACTATGGAAAAATCAGTTTGCCCCAAACTGTAATCCAGATTAGTTAGCATCATGTTCTAAAGAAAGAAGAGGGTGCAGGTTGAGTACTTTTCATGTTAGCTGGTGGGTGCTTCATTGTGCCTGCTCCTTTAATAATCTCTTTAACTGAGTCAGCTGATACTTATATCATGTGGAAGCACACAGCCAATATGGGCTAATAGCTATATTTACAAGCCTGGTAAAATTGCAAGAGATGTTTATCAAATGGTGGCATCCTGGCTTGCATAAATGTAGAAGCTAAAGTTGAAAGCGGACTGTTTAGAGACCTTGCCAAGAGTCACAACAGCAGAGCCAAGAATAAATCCCTGGACCCTGGTGTAGTCTCTGTTGTTCATCATTATGATAAATGGCCTCTTTTATCCACAGCTAAGCTGGTCCAGTATTTAGCTTGTCTAGTGGTTTCATAAATAAATCCAGGATTCCCTCAACAAACATGATAGTGTTTAACTCAAACTTGTAAAGCCAGTAGATGAAAACAGCCTTTGAACTACCTAGTTGTTTTTATTTGCTCACCTATTAATAATTCTAAATGAATAGTAAAGCATGGTTAGTAATGATGTAATCCTGTGATCTAGTTTAACTTTTCTTCTCTAGCAAGTGTCTCTTTAGAGACGATTGTTTTTTCTTTCAGTTTCCACAGTGGTAGTTTCATGTAATGCTTCAAGATAGAGTTGGTAGTCATTCTCTCAGGATGCACTGATGATAATCAATCTATAAAAGACGTATGTTTTGTACATTGTGGACAAAAAGAGTCAGAAGTTAAAAAGCTCCAGAGCTATAGAAATCCTCTTTTCTTAACAAGTGATTAGGGACATAATCAATGATGTTTAAAAGGAAAATCCTTAATACAAAGTATTTAGTTCCTTTTTCATTTTGCTAGTATACCAGTAGTTAGCTGTTTTTTTCCCATTTTCTTTATCACTGTTGTTTCTCTTTCAGCTGTCATCTTTCTAAATCTTCCGGTATATCTGCTACATTTTGCTTTTGGCTTTGACTGCTGACTTTGATCTCCATGATACCCAGTGTCAGTGTGAAAGAGGGAACGTCCTTGAGACTGAATTAGGGGAAAGAATTGGGAGAAGTAGTGTGCATCAAAAACATATCCTCTTAGAACACCGAGCTAAGAGCACTTTCCAAACCACACTTCACCTCTTTCGTTTTTAAACATGCTCCACACTAGGGAGTCTTCGGCAATCAAAGCCTGTGGTTTCTAACAGGAACTTCTGTGATGCAGAAGAATTGAGCAATGCCAGTGCTTAAAATGATAATCGTGTTTAGATTAATGAAGTATCTTCCTTCTGCAGGAAGGAGAATGATAGGATACAGGAGTGTGCTGGGGTGAGTAGGGGCGATGCAGGTGCCAGTGTCTCCTTCTAGACCCTAGCCCCAATCTTTTGTGGCTCAGAATTGGCCCTGTTTTCACCTCCTGAGAGTTATGAACATTGGAAGCAGAGGCTCGTAACATGCTCAGTACTCACTTAGGTCCTGGCAAGGGCACGTGGGCCTTGCAGGCAGGAGTGTCTTGAATTCAAATCCCAGCACAACTCTTTCCTTTTCTAGGACCCTGGGGAAGCAGCTTCACTTGCCTGTTTCCTCCTCTGTAACATAGATACGATAATGAGTCTTCTGCAGTGTTGTCACAGGACTTCAGTGAGGATAAAAGATGCAAACATCTACACAAAGTGCCAGCTGTGTCCCTGGTCTGGGGAAGGTCAGCAGAAGGTTGATGTCTGATTCACAGCTTGCTCCTTCTCCTCCTCACTCACATCTCCCTGGGCCCTGACTCCTTCCTTTCTGCCTTGCACACTGAGGGTGCACAGTTCACACGGAGAGAGCATGCTCATGCTACTAGGCCATTTGATACTTCTTGTGATTTCATTTTTGCGCACAGTGAGCCTAGAACAGGGTTAGGCTCATGTGATTTCAGCAGGGATCAAGAGAGAAAGGGTGTTGGCTCTCAGGGAGCTTCTGTTGATAGGAAAGACCACTAATATACATAAACCCTGACTTTGTTACGTGCTACCTGGGGAGCGTTAGACAAACTGCTTAACTTCGCTGAACATCAGTTTTCTCACTCAGTACATGGGAGTAACAGCACCATGTCTCTGGATGATTGCGGAGAGAGAGCACTGACTCAGAACACTACCCTCACCCTGCCAGCCACTTGTGGCCCTTGTTGCTGCGTTAGCTGGGCTGCCTAACTCTCTGTAGCCCACGTGAATGGCCGTGGCTGTGTGCATGCTCTGTCCTGTTGTAATGGAACATCTCATCATAGGAAGAAGGCATCACACTTCCTTGACCCCCTTCATCTGCTAGACTGAGTGAAACTCACCTAATCTCCAAGACCCCCTTGACTTTCTCTTCTTCCTGTTCAAGGCACAGAAGTCTGGCTCAGGAGGGGACACGCAGGCCGCAGAAGACCTGCTGCTGCTTAGCAAGCCTCTTACAGACCTTGTTAGACTGCTCATTCCACTGGTAAGAGTTCACCTGTTGTGTCTTTGAGCTCATCGCTGAGTTGGAATAATTTTATTTGAATTTTATGATGTCTTGAATGTCTATGCAATTTTAATTCCTTTTAAAACCAGAACCAAAAGGCATGTCAGAGGATCATTTGGCTTGGAAATACTAAAATTCTGCTTTATTTTTAAACTAGGCGGCTTATTCATTTAAGTAGATATATAAGTACAATAAAGTAGATACTTAATATCAAATCCTTCTTAATGAATATAAGGCAAGGAAAAAAAAATCAAGAAATGAATACCTCAGAAAAAATTTGACTGGGGAGATCAGTTCTCTTTCGAAAAGGTATTTTAGAGATATACTTGAGTTATTCTTGGATCCTTTAGAGATGTACAGGCAGACACAGACCTACCACATGGCCACCTCAGTCTCCACAGAAATAGCAGGAAGCAGGTAAGACTACAGAAGAACACCAAATATATACAAAGAGCCCAGAAAAAAATCTCAAAGTTTGATCTAACTAAACAGTTTTAGCCAGACTTAGGGTGGAACCATTACGTAGATACTCATCTCCCAGCACTGGACCCAACAGTCAGAGCGTTGCTCGTGAAATGCCACAGAACTCCTGATACCCTCTCCCTGGTGCGCGGTTCCAAGATCTAGAGGCCCAGGTAACCGGGGAGTGTATCCTGTGGTCTCCACACTACACAGAGGCAGGCAGCTCTTCACTTCTCTTGAGGCTGCTGGGACTTGTCTCTTTCTGCCCTCTTACTCAAAGAAAGGTAAATGAAGGTAGGATGAACACAAGACAGTCCTCATTGTATTCAGTAAAAGCTTTGGTTCAGCAGAGGGAGTAAGAAAAAGGGGGATTGATTAGTCACTACAGAGTAACGCTAAATTGTAGCATACTGGGATCTAGCTGCCACTAATAGGCTGTGGACTCACCAGGGGGTGAGGGACGGACCCAAAACCCAGGACATGGCCCTGATAGAGGAGGAGGATCTTTTTGCACTGTTTGCCTGAAATTACAGAAAAGCGGCAATGCTTGTGAAGTACTCTGCTCAGAGTACAGGGTGGACCCTGACAAGCAGCTCTCGGGTAAGGGCAGGAAACTGATGTGGCCCCAGTGAACAGAGGAAAGGCTGAGAAACCACACACTCTTTAGGAACATACAATGTGCAAGACTCGAAATGGACTCATTTTTTATAAGTAAATTGATGCACTACAACATATATAAAATAACTTTAGCAAATTAGATTAAAAATAGAACAATACTTTAAGGCAGATAAAGAATCCATTATAGGTAAAATTTCTAGGATTCTATTTCACATCTATATCTTACACCCCAGGTTTTGGTGTATGCCACCTTCTGAGATTTTTTTTTTAGGAGGTGAATTTATTCCAGTTGGATTTATTGATAAATTCTGCTGCTTAATTGTTTTCTATTTTCTTTCTAAATGTTTTCCTATATTAAATATAAGATTTAGTGCAAACAGACAAACACAAACCTATTCATAGCACAGAAAGATTTCTGCAGAGATAAGGAACAAGATCCACAAAAAGATATATGTATAGAGAGAGAGAGAGAGAGAGACAGAGAGAGACAGAGAGAGAGAGAGAGAAAACAGTGATATCAAGGAATTTAAAATATATTTCTCAGTGCTTAATAGACCAAGTAAATAAAAATGATGTAGAGCAGGGATTGACAGACCACAGCCTGTGGGTTAACTTTGGCCCACTGCCTCTCTCTGTGTGTGTGTGTGTGTGTGTGTGTATAGGTAATGTTGACTTACCCCACTACATGCTTTAGGGCACAGGCTCACAGTTCTGCAGATGTAAGTTATCACACTACCTCTACCATCAAAGCCCCCAATAACCTTCCACCATGGACCACTGGGCCCCTCCACCCTTTGCTCTCCACGTGGTCCCACCCCTGCCCCTTCCAGTCAGTAGCTTCAGTTCTACAGTCAGGTTTCTAGGGATTGGTTTTGTATGATCCCTTCTTTATTTTTTATATCCCACATATGAGTGAAATTACCTTGTATTTCTTTCTGCCTATTTTTGTAGACAAAGTTTTATTGAATACAGCACAGATAATTCATTTCCACATTGCTTCTGGCTGCTTTTACACCTCCACAATAGAGTTGAAGAGTCACAACTGAGACATTAAATAGCCCATAAAATGATATTATTTACTACCTGGCTCTTTACAGAAAAAGTTTGTTGACCACCATTTGGAAGATATAAAAACTTTAATAAGATCGTGCTAATACAAATAGAAATATATATATGTGGGGGGGGTATATGTGTGTGTATATATGTGTATATATACATCTGATAATAGAAACTGCACCTCTTCGTTTTAGCTTTCTGTAAACATCTTTAAAAAGTTGACCAGGTGTTATATTAGAAGGAAATCAATAAATTCTCTAGGAACACTAAAAACCACATTCTTTAACCATAATACAGTTAAGCTAGAGGGAAAGATAAAGACAGTTGAAGGCACACTGCCCATCTGTCTACTGAACACTGTGACAAATACTGTCAATGTGTGCAGTCAGTGAATAAAACCGATTCTGTCTGGGTCCAGTCGGAAGGTAGAGACCACAGTGATTTGAACAGAATTTTAATAAAAGGAATCACTAGCTTATGATAGAAAAGACAGGAACTCGACAGGGTACCCTAAAGCTGAGGGAAGTACCCAAGGAAGGACAAACTTGAAAAGGGGTCCACTCTCATGGCAACAGGCCAGCCTCCACTGGAGGAACTGTGCACATAGCCCACAGAACAGTGGGCAGGTTTGCTGGGCTGTGCAGGTGGCCCATCCCTAGTCTCCGAGGAAGCAGGGAGCCGCCCTTCCGAGCGCAGGTGGGCTGGCCAGTGGGCAGGCACAGGGGTCTGCTAGACATACTCTTGTGTTCTGGTGGTCAGTAAATGGGACTCTCTTCCCCTCAGTTGCCCATACCAAGAACATGGCACCATCCTGCCACTCTTAGTCCCTCTCTGTCCTGACCCATCCTCATTAAGCCACCCAAACTTGTCACTAACTATAGCTTTCTCCTCCTCCTCCTTGGGTGCTGTTGTGAAAGGCACCATGTCATCTCGGTCTTTGAGGGTCATAGTAGCCATCTGTCCACCTGAGATCACTGTCTGAGTGTGCCCCTTCCAGTGTCTTGTCAGGGTGGAGGTTGAGTGCCCTTTTAAAAATGCAAAGTTCAGGCCCTCCCTGGTGGCGCAGTGGGTTAAAGCACAGCACCGAGAAGCTAAAGCCACTTCCGCATGAGTTTGATTCCCGCCTGCCCCGCAGGTGACCACATGGCGCGGCAGACCTCTCCTGACCCGCCCGCTACTCCCCTCAGCAGTGTACTTCGTAGATCTGCCTGTTCTGCTCCCCACTCTGTCTCTGGTGAAGCCTCTCACCTCGCCCCTGAGCCTCTGGCCTGTACCCCAGTTCTGTATGTACAAATAAATAAATTAAAAAAAAAATGCAAAGTTCATTTCATCACCTTCCCGTGCTTCCCACCACTTATGGATAAATCCAACCTTCTTAATAGGTTTAGGCAACAATTTAATATGTGTCATTTTCTTGTGGTTCTAGACCCATCTCTTGATTTTCTGTGTCCTACTCTTTGTTCTGCACCCCCACCTACCTTTGGGCCTTAATTTAAGCTGGCACAATTTCCTTTGCCATTGCCAGAAACATGTCCTTCCCCTTTCTCCTTGGCTAGAGCTTTCTCAGCTCCTCAAATGGGCTTAGGTGTCAGGAAGCGCTCTTAGACCCTCTACAATTAGATCCGAGGGCAGCCTCGGCTTCCTTTGTCCTACCACTTTTAATTATTAAACGACGCTGAAAAAAAAATCTCATCGATGTCTTGGTCCCCCTCTCCACTAATACAGGACTCATTCATCTCCTTCACTTTGGGGCCTAGTATAGTGAAAGAAGCAAATTGCTAATACACAGTGGAATGTTTTCTACCTCTCTTCAATGTAACAGACTAGACTAAGTCTGGAAAGAAAGAGATTCAAGTACAAATGCACCGTGTGCCTCCCCCGCTGCCCTGCCCTGTGCAGCCTGCCTCCAGGAGGTGGGGATGGATCACCACATGCTTGCTTCACAGTCACACCATGTTGAGTTCCTTTTAGAGGTTGACCTCTCCTTGTAGGGCTTGCCCTGGCCTTCACCAACACTGGAAAGCCTGTGTTCCTGAAACAACTCACGCCCTAATTTTGACCAGAAAAGATACAAAAGAGAAGATAGCAGTTCCCAGGAACTTGTCTGTCTGGAAATTGCTATAGTTGTATTGATAGTAACTGCAGTGTTTGTACCCCCCAGCATTAGGATCCCTGCAGTAGAGCATAGATGCTCCCAAGATAGAAGTCACAGCAGCATCACCCATTTCTACCAGTAGAGACTCTCATGTTGTGTGTCTGGATAAGCAACTGGAGGAAAGTGTTTCCAGAGCTGCAGGTCTTATTTTCTCCCATTACTTCATATACCTTTGTCTTAAATTGATGGTAATAAAGCCATGTGTTTTTTAATATCATGCTGTTACTGGCCAAATCTCTTCTAAGTGGAGTAGGGAAGTATTCCTTTAGGTGCTGGGACCAGAGTCGTGCCAGAAAGGAGCTCTAGAAGAGCCTTCTGACGCACTGATGACCCAAACTCCCACTTTCTTTTCACCCTCTTTTTAAAACCCCTTTTAGGTAGTAAAGCATTAGTATGAATACACATCAGATGTTTCACTGATAAGACTAAGGCAGTGAGACAGATTGAGAGAAGAAAAAGAGGAAATGGGAGTTAGAAGAGTGACTGAAGTAAGACATGGAAATAGAATTCTGAAATAGGGATCCTGCCAAGAGTAATGTCAGCGAATTAAATTTGTAAGCAGGAAATAATTAGCAGCACAGAAAGAATTTTTAAAACAAATATTCTCACAACATTATCTTTAGTATCAGGTACCTTGATGATAACCTATATGTTGCTCAGTTGGTAATTAAATTGTATCCTGAGGTAG